GAAATTCATAAAAAAAGACCAGACTTACTAGTCTGACAGAGACTAGAGGAACCCCTGAAACCATTGACCCAGGACACTCTGCTAACCCAGAACTGAAACCATTCCCAAAGCCCACTTTTCAGACAAAGATTAGACATACCTATAAAACAAAAAATAACACACATGAAGAACACGCTTCTTAGTTCAATCAAATATATGAGACCAAATGGGCAACTCCTATCCAAAAGCAAGACAAGAAGGCAGGAAGGTACAGTGTCTGGACGAATGAGCACAGGGAACCTGGGGTAGAAAGGAGGAGCGTGCTTTTACATTATGGGGATTGGAACCAGTGTCACAAAACAATATGTGTGTAAATTTTTCAATGAGAAATTAACCTGAGCTGTAAACTTTCACCTAAAGCACAATAAAAAAAAAAAAACACGGTAGAAAACATTACAAAAATACCAACCCTTTCTATTACTATTCTGCACTATAAGATAATTCTAGGAAAGGAAGAAGGAAAATAATACCTATAAAGAGCAGCAGAGGTTGGAAGAAAAAAAGAATGAGTATTATACAGGCCATATTCTCTGACCACAATGAAATGATATTTCAAATCATTAATAATTTTTTAAATAATTTAAATAATAATTTTTAAAATAATTTAAACATTTAGAAATGTTTAAATATTTCTATAACTCATGGGACAAAGACATAATCAAAATTGAAATTAGAAAATACTCAGAATTGAACTAATAACTCAGTAAAAGTGGTTTTTAGAGGGAAATTCATAGCCCTGAATGATTGAATTAGAAGACAAAAGGATATGCTTAAAAATAATGAACTATAAAAAATTAGTAAGTTAGGGAAAGAGAAGGAGAATAAATTCAGAGAAGAGGAAAGATGATAATGTAGTGGCTATATGGAGCAAAACTGCCTGGATTTGAATGCTGGTTCCAACAGTTACTAATGAGGCAACCTACAACAAATTACTTAACCTTTCTTTGCCATTGTTTCTGACCTGTAAAGTGAGTTTAATAATAATATCTAAATCATAGATTGTTATGAGGACTAAATGAGTTGGTAATTATAAAGCTCTTAGAAGAATGTTGTTGGGTGTTTAATATTCATCTTTCTTACTATCATCCTGAATGCGTACACATAGCGTTCTAGAACAGAGAGAGATTTCTTATACATTCCTTCATAGAGAGTAATAGGTTGCTATGAGTCAGAAATGAGTCGATGGCAATGGGTATATTTTGCTTTTTTATTAACTGAATTGTGTCCTCAAAAAATATGTGTTGTAAATCCTAATCCCTATACCTGTGGTTATAATCTCATTCGGGGATGGGTTTTCTTTGTTATGTTAACAAGGCAGTACTAGTATAGGGTGTGTCTTAAATCAATCTCTTCTGAGATATAAAAAGCCAAGAAGCAAACAAGCATGGGGTAAGATGGGGGAAGATAGAGGCCACGTCACATGAGATCTCCAAGGAACCAAGAAACAGAAGTTGAAAAGAGACAAGGACCTTCCCCTAGAGTCAACAGAAAGAGAAAGCCTTCTTCTAGAGCTGGGGCACTGAATTCAGACTTCTAGCCTCCTAAACTGTGAAAAAAGTAAATTTCTGTTTGTTAAAGCCACCCACTTGTGGTGTTCCTGTTTTAACAGCACTAGATAACTAAGACAGCCCCCCCTTGTCCGAAGCCTTACCCTTGATGTAAGCCGGATCAAACGTCCTGACTAGCACAACACTCTGTAGGTAAGTGACAGAGAACAATGGATTTTCTCTGTTTATATTCAGGAGAGAGCCAGCCCTTCCCTCCTCTCTAAAAATGAAAGAAAAATCTTTTTCTCCTTTGAGATGGGATAAAAAGGGTCCTAGGTTCTCACCTTAACTTTTTGGAATATAAATATGTGTTTTCAAGGGCCAGGTAAACCCCAGGTGTCTCCAAGGCCTGGCTTCATACTTAAGGAGCTAGCATCCCAGTCTTCCCGCACCTTGTGAGCTTAACCTACTGACCTAATTCAGGCTGCAACCATTTGGCCTTCTTAGGAAGACAAGTTTTATTATCATTTTGCATCAGAGCAGTTAACTACACAGATGGTTACAAATCTAATCCTTATGGTGTGTGAAAAGCCTCAGTAGACCAGGGGTTTTTACAAGAGCACGAGAAAGTTTCATTTCCCCATGAGAGCCTAGCATATATGAAGTATAATTATGTGTTTGTTACATAAATAAAAATAAACAAATGAAATAATAGAGATAAGAACAGAAAGGAATGAAATAGAAAATGAGACAAATAAGAGGATCAACAAAAGCAAAAATTGGTTGTTTGAAAAAGCTAATAAAATTGGCCAACCTCTGGTGAGACTAATCAAGAAAAGAAGAGACACAGCACAAGTATTCTGAATGAAAGAGGAGAGATAACTAGGATATAGCAGAGATTTAAAGATAAGGAAATACTTTGAAAAACTTTATTAGCGCTACTACAGTGGACAACCTTTTGGCATTTCTGGTAAGATTGAAGACATGCATGCCCAGTGAACCAGCAATTCTGCTCCTAGGAATGTGCCCTAGAGAAACCCTTGCACATGTACACCAGAAGATAAGCATAAGAATGTTCACAGGAGCACTGTTCATAATGGCAAGAAAAAAGAATACCAAATATTTGTGTACAAAAAAAAAAATACATCAATTGTATTGCCTTCATACAATAAATTATTGAGCAACAGCAAAAAAAATGAATAAACTACAACTACATGCAATTAGTTAGTCATACTGTGGTGGCTTATTTGTTGCTATGATGCTGGAAGCTATGCCACTGGTATTTCAAATACCAGCAGGGTCACCCATGGTGGATAAATTCCAGCAGAGTTTCCAGACTAAGACAGACTAGGAAGAAAGGCCTGGCAATCTACTTCTGAAAATCAGCCACTGAAAACCATATGATCACAACAGAATATAGTCCAATATAATGCTGGAATATGAGCCCCCTAGGTTGAAAGATACTCAAAACACACATTGGCGACAACAATGGATTCGAGCACACCAATGATCGTGAAGATGCTGCAGGACCGGGCGACGTTTCGTTCTGTTGTGCTTGGGGTTACCATGAGTCAGAGCCTACTCAACAGCAACTAACAACAACCCATGCAATCAACGCTAACACACTTCACGAACATATTATTGGGCAAAACAGCAAACTACAAAAATATACTTAGAGCATGATACTATTTACATATGTACAAACAATCAAAATTAAAGGTGATGTCTTATTTACATATATGGAAATACACGGTGAAAATACAGATAAAAGCAAAGGAAGGAAAATCACAAAATTGGGAAAAGCCATTAGCTTGGGTAAGGAGGCAAGGAATCAGATCAGAGTAGCAGACATAGGCAGCTTCAAGAATATTAGAAATGTAACATTTCTCAGTTGGGTGATGAGTACACTAGTGTTCATTTTATTTAGCATGCCCTACAACTTATCTATATGTTACGTATCATTTTATGTGTAAAATAGTTCAAAATGAAAAAGTATGAAGAAGGAAAGCAAGGAAGGGAGGAAGGGAGAGAGAGACGGACAAAGGAAGGAAAGGAGGAAAAAATAAATACTTCCCTAAAACTTTCATTTAAAACATCATTGGCGGGGTGGAAATGGAACAGCATAATAACCACACACACACACACACACACACACACACACAAACACACACAAAGAAAACAAAAACTTCCTTTATCTTCTATAATGTACTGAGTTTGGCAATTTAAGTAAGTGCTCTAACAAAATGTGAAATCTCATATATATTTTCTTGCCAAGAAGTTAGAAGAGATCTTAGCTGTGGAGTTAGCATAAACCATAACACAACTGAAAAACTGTTAAAAGTAGCTTTAAAAATGGTATGCAACATACACTCTAAGGGAGAAACAGGATTACAAAATATAGAATATGAAGCTCCTCTTCATAAAATTCTCTTAGTTCCAAAGACGTTTCTTTTTTCTTTTAAATACAAAGAGCAGAGATTTGCCTTATAGGCACCACTCGCTCACACCACATCTTTGTTCTCTGCTGCTAATGGGCCCCGTAAAACAAATTAAATGCACATGTGTAACTAATTTAGCTTAACAGAATTCAAGGGAGTCTTAATTCCCTCTTCACTCAAAAACAGAATATGAAAGTAAGTTGCAGTATTTAGACTTTACAGTAGATTAAAAATTGAATTGTAAAATCATATTTCACAGAAAAATCTAAGTTGACTTTTTAGGTTATGAATACTTGATTATTGTGGGGACAGTTCAGAAATAGCCCCATTTTTATTCATTTGGAAAAGGCGGTTATTCACCGTACTGAGTTTTATGGCCAGGAAAGAAGACAGAAAAGGCTTAATTTTGAGCTGTCAAGTTTAACACATATGTGCTATGAGTTGGAATCCACTTCTCAGCAACAGGTTTTATACAAACAAATACTCCCACTGCAAAATTGAAAGTGCTGCACATCAAATTAAGGGTAGTGTCCAAATGCTGGTTGGAGCAGTACTCTGGCAAAAGGGTAAGAGAATGTCTTCACTTTTCTCTCTACTGAAGAAACATGACCCATACACAGCATTAAAAGACATTTTACATAATACATATTATTAAGATACGAATCATTAAAGATGCTTTTTATGAGGATTACTGCAGTTAAAAACTTATCGTTATTACACATTAACTCAACATTTTCACATCACTATCTTAAAAAAGGAAATGAGGGGGGTAAAGGCAGGGTCATAATTCCGTATTCTTTGAATACTATTTGTAAAAATAGTAGAGTCCTAAAAACATTTAAATAATCATTCCTCTCCTAGCAAAGCCATTTAAGGATAACTCTCTGCATTTTTACTTAAAGAGGATTGCTGGAGGACCCATACCCAATACCTATGCCCATAAAATTCAACAGACCGGTGGAAACAGAATACTATAGTCTGTGTTAAGGGGAGTCACATTCCACAGGTGGCTGAGAAAGAAAACAGAAGAACTTACCTTTATGGTGGTTTGCACTGGATACAACTTTCCCCCACAAGGTTACAATAAATATTATTATTAGCAGTTTTCCTTTTGTTGCTTTCTGTAAGTATCTCTTACTCATCCTGCAAAAAACAATACATAAAGACTAAGTATGTGAAACAATTGTTTTTCCGTTGTAATTGTGCTATATTTAAAGTTAAACTTCTCTTTAACTTCTGAAAATAATAGTTCTTGGATTTAAAATGCTGTTAACTGTATGTAAAATATGAACAGAGAAAATAAAAGTTTTCCAAACAATGTACTTCACAATATGATGCAAGGGGTAAGTCTTTGGTCACTTAACAGCCTAAATCAGTTAGGAAATACTACCATTTTTCTCCCAGTATAAACATAGATGTAATGTATTAACAAAATTCAAGGCACAGTTGTTTGAAAAATATTTAAGTAAGTCCTTTATTATTCTACTTTAAAAAGATATTTTCTTTCAACGCCAAGTCAAAAGCTAAGGGCAAACAATGTAAATAAAATTGGTTAGATGAATTCGTGAACAAAATCAAGTTTTCCAAATTGTTTTTGCAAAGACTGAGTTACTTGACATGTGTATTCACTGCAGTCTCAATTAAAAAAAACTCTTGCAGTCTTTGCAGATTGCCTCTGTGCTGTGGCACTCATTCAACACTTAACCAGGTTTTCAGTGGGCCTAGAGATAAGCTGAAGCCCTGTTGGCACAATGGTTAAGAGGTTGGCTGCTAACCAAAAGGTCAACAGTTCAAATCCACCAGCCGCTCCATGGAAACCCTATGGGGGCAGTTCTACTCTGTCCTATAGGGTCGCTATGAGTTGGAATCAATTTGATGCCAACAGATAGATATAGAGATAGGCCTAGAGGTCCCTGGGTGGCTCAAATGGTTTTCTCTGGGATACTAACGGAAAGGTTGTCGGTTTGATCCCACTCAGAGGCACCATGGAAGAAAAACCTGGAGATCTGCTTCTTGAAAGATTACAGCCAAGAAAACCCCATGGAATTCGGTTCTACTCTGTACCATATGGGTAATCATGAGCTGGAATCTACTTGATGGCAATGGGTTTAGAAATAAGCCCAAGGTGAAAGCTTAGAAATTACTCAAGTCATTTCTGCACAGGAGTCTTACCCTGAGCAAGCATTCAGCTTTCTGAATTCCCCTGTATACACCTTGATCCTGAATGCCCCAGCTTCCCAAAGAAACTCTTTTCCATGCTCCTTGACCTTAGGCCTAAACTTTCTTGTGTGTGTGTGTGTGTGTGTGTGTGTGTGTTCATCGCCTTCTCTTGCCTCAGGCAGCTATAATCCTTTCAGTCCACCCTGCAGTGCTAGGAACTACACTTGCAGCTTCTCTGCCCAGCTCACCTCCAAAATGGAGGAAATCAAGACGTGTGTTTTGCTTCAGTCCTTTGGGTAGCCACTCCACAGGTTCAAACAGACAAACGCAATAATTTGTGCATATGGTTTGATATGCTCTTTTCGGGACCCAGGACGGTGTCCCCAACTGGAAACAGGGGCTGTTACTTCCAGCTGGGTGCTGAGCCATAACGGGAGAGAAGCACAGTCCCGGAACAAAAAGCCATAAAGCTTTCCTACTGTTTTCTTGACAGTTGCCTTTTCCCTAATTCAACACTTGCTTGGTTGCTGTGAACCTCTGAGCGTTTATCAGAGTTCTGATAAGCTTAGACCTGACAGTTTCTACTGGTTTTTTGATGTTTCTTTGGGGGATGGGAACATGGAGCTTCTTACTCAGCCGTCTTGCTCATGCCCCCTGAACACTGCTTTTGCTTGCCCTGGTTCTACTGCAACTTCCCAAAGTCACTACTTCCTGACCTACCCTGATTTCTCTCCCTCTTGATTCTCCAAATTACACTTTTCCTCACACCTTTGCCCCTAAAATATTCCATCTCCAAAAATATGACTCAGTGGTAGCAATGATAGCTGTATAATACCAAAGAGGAGTCTTTCATGTGGATAAGTACATAAAAAATAAATTAACATATTATATATTTTAATATAGAGACACTTCTTGGCCTAGGGAGTTGTGCACCCTTATTCGGATATTGAGGAGGCAGTATTGTAGGATTAAGAACAGGGGCTCTGGAGTCAGACGGTCTGAGTTTGAGCCCAGGCTCTACTCACTTCTAACTGTGTGGCCTTACACAAATTTTTGTATCTCTTGCCTCAGTTTCTTCTTCTGTAATATGGGATAATGAATGTGAAATGCATGGCCCACGGCTGGCATGTAGTGAGGGCTCAGTAATTATGAGATAGTAAAGAATGATCAGTTATTTGGATGTTATGTTTGGTCCTTGAGTGCATGGGAGGTCAGTCTCATTCATGAGATGATTGAAGGGAGTTTCAGTGGCACCAACAGCTGCAAACCTTCCATGGGTCTTGTGACATGTCAAAGCTAATGTGCAAAGGCAATAGGTGTTTGAGCTTTTAGGTTAGACTTGGTGGTGGTGGATTTAAAATCTGGCTCCCTGCTTACTGGCTGTGTGAAATGGGACAAATTACTTAATCACTCAGAGTATTTACATTCTCAGAAAAATGAGGATAATAATAGTATCAATCTCATAGTGTTGTTGGTATAAATACTAAAGGAGAAGTCCATGTAAAGAGGTTAACACTAGGCCTTGAAAAAAGAAAAAAAAAAAAACCAATTGCTACAGAGTTGATTCAGACTCTTGAGCAACCCTATAGGACAGAGTAGGGTTTCCAAGGAGCACCCGATGGATTCAGATTGCCAACCTTTTGGTTAGCAACCAAGCTCTTAACCACTACACCACCAGGGCTGCAGATAATAAATGCACAATGATCATTACAATGATCATTACTCAGGCTGGCAATACCCGATGTGCGTTCGGTGAGGCACTAGTTCCATGGAATGTTAATGTGGTACATGCTAGTAAAAAACAAAGGCAGCAAATATATTTGTAAAATGCTGGGTTCAGCAAATTTATATGGGATTTTTAAACCAGAGCCATATAGAGTGTACAGCTTTTTTCCCTTCTCTACAGAGTAACACCGGGCACTAGTGCTCTCAGGAAGCCTCTTAGAGCAACACTGAGCTGTAGCAATAATCTGGTTTAGTATCCTCTTTCTGTAAACCACCAAATGCCTCTTTGGAATCTTCCATTCTATTGCTCTGTTTCCTCTCATAACACTTACTACTAGTATTTAATACTAGTATTTCTTATCAGCTCCTCCTCTTTCTTCCCCATTTTTTCATCAATCCTGCCTCCCCTTCTGCATCCAATCCCTGCCAACCATATTGCATATCCTATAGCAGAATGAACAGTTTAGCAAAATTTATCTGACAAGAAGAGCTGCTTAGCATAATTCTTGATAATAGCTTTCCCATAGAGAGTGGCCTCGGCTACATGGTCAATGACCCATCATATTTTCCATACGACTGTGCACCCACCAGATGAGATGACAGAACTGACAGCTGGTCAGACTGATAACTAGACATATGGAAACTAAAACACCCACAAAGTTGTCAGGCTGTCAAACTAAAGAAAGGAAGGAGAATGTAGGTCAACATTTGGAAGGCCATAAAGACCCTTGCCTTCTCCTTCTCAGGCACTCCCACTCCTGTCCAGTCAATTACCATGTTCTGTCAATACCACCTCCTGATTAGTTCTTAAATGTATATATTTATTTCATTCCTTACTGCAATGCTATAGTTCAGCCCACCAAAATTTCTTACTGGCCACAGTCTCGTAATCGGACTTCCTGCTCTCAACACTGCTCTCGTCTGGATCTTAGGGCATGGATGTGTATGCCTTTTTCATGACTATATTCATTGCATTTAGTAGTTAGTAACCAAACCAAAACAAATCTACTGCAGTCCAGTGGATTTTGACTCAAAGAAACACTAAAGGACAGAGAAAAACTGCCCCATAGGGTTTCCAAGGCTATAAAACTTTATGGAAGAAGACTGCCACATTTTCTCCCACATTTTAACCACTGCACCGCCAAGGCTCCTTCCTGTTGTTGTTATTGTTAGGTGCCCTCGAGTTTTTCTGGCTCATAGTGACTCTATGTACAACAGAACAAAACACTGCCCGGTCCTGCACCAACCTCACAATCATTGCTATGCTTGAAGCCATCATTGCAGCCACTGTGTCAATCCATCTCATTGAGGGTCTTCCTCTCTTTCACTGACTCTCTACTTTACCAAGCATGATGTCCTTCTCCAGGGACTGGTACCTCCTGATAACATGTCCAAAGTACGTGAGATGAGGTCTTGCCATCCTCACTTCTAAGGGGCATTCTGGCTGTACTTCTTTCAAGAGAAAATTTGTTCGTTCTTCTGGCAGTCCATGGTATATTTAATATTCTTCGCCAACACCATGATTTGAACGCATCAATTTTTCTTTGTTCTTCTTTATTCCCTGTCCAGCTTTCACATGCCTATGAGGTGATTGAAAACACCATGGCTTGGCTCAGGCGCATCTTAGTCCTCAAGGTGACATCTTTGCTTTTTGACACTTTAAAGAGGTCTTTTGCAGCAGATTTGCCCAGCGCAGTACATCATTTGATTTCTTGACTGCTTCTTCCATGGACATTGATTATGAATCCAAGTAAAATGAAATCCTTGACAACTTCAATATTTTCTCATTTACCATGATGTTGCTTATTGGTCCAGTTGTCAGGATTTTTGTTCTCTTTATGTTGAGGTGTAATCCGTACTGAAGGCTGTATAGTCTTTGATGTTCATCAGCAAGTGCTTCAATTCCTCTTTGCTTTCAGCAAGCAAGGTTGTGTCATCTGCATAATGCAGGCTGTTAATGAGTCCTCCTCCAACCCTGATGCTGCACTCTCATATAGCCCAGCTTCTCGGATTATTTGCTCAGCACACAGATTGAGTAAGTATGGTGAAAGGACACAACCCTGACACACACCCTTCCTGATTTTAAACCACACAGTATTCCCTTGTTCTGTTCAAACGACTGCCTCTTGTTCTGTGTGCAGGTTCCTCATGAGCACAATTAAGTGTTGTGGAATTTCCATTCTTCACAATGTTATCCATAATTTGTTATGATCCACACAGTTAAATGCCTTTGCATAGCCAATAAAACACAGGTAAA